CTGAGTACAAAATTTCAAGAAATCGAAGTTTCTTTGTTTATAAACTCTTTTATCTTAAAATCGAAAATCAATACTTGCTAATTAAACGGTTCTTTTGTTTCGGCGAATGCAAGCTTAATTACGGGTATTACAGTTTCGTTGATTAAATAAAACAAAGTAATTCTTCAGTTTAGTTGCCAATTCGTTTTTTTCCCCTAGAAATAAATTTGATCAAAATCTCACGTACACCAATGGCAATAAAGCCGGACGTTAGTTGATCATAGGGAAGTTGCGGTTGAAATTCAGAACGTGTAGGGACGCGAAACTTCGTCCCAAGTAAGGAAGGGATGTCACCTTCATTTGGCTTCGATTGTTCCCCACCGGCAACGGCGAAATTGGATTTTAAACAAACCTCTCGCCAAGATACCGCAGTTTCGTTGCAAATTTGGATTAACTGTACACGCTGCCGAATCGGTTGTATTATCAATTAAGCGAGGTATTTAAAACAACTATTATCAAACAGGCCCATGGAAGGAGAAATAAACGTGATTAATTCAAGTCTGCACTTGAAGACCCCAATTCAGCTTAGATGACGTATTATGAAGTCGAGTAGGTTGAATCCCACTCGAAGATTAAGGATTTCATCACTAATTAACTTTGCAGATTGCACTAATCAAATTCGAACAAATTAAAACTGCGTTATTTAACGAACTGTGAAATAGAGGGAGTATTAGCCCTTTGATGTGTGCGAACTCGCACCCCGTTCCTATATAAAACATATGTTTTGTAAAGTACAACATCTTTTGTTGCAGAGTTCTCTAGACAATTTTATTCTCGAACCGACGTGTTTTATATAAAAGTTGGAAGTTGAAAGCGTAATATCGCTTTGTTTACTAAAAATTTCATAATGTTATCTTTTCCAAAATCGCAGGAGATGAATTCTTAAATTTTAGGGAAAAGCTTAGATATTTTATCAAGCTTTATTAACAAACTCCGCATTCTTCGTCCTTACCTACTTTATGTTTATTATGTATTATATTGCCCTTTGTCCATCACACTCTTTTGGACACCCTTGAAATATAAAAAGGGAATGAATGCTGTTAGGTATTTATATACTTACTTTTCAATGTAGAATGCCAACTTTTTGTAAATTACTCTACCTTCTTTCTGTGTTATCTTTTATATTTGTACGATTCCACCTATTCATTTCTGTCTTATTGGCCACTCTTTTCCTCATATCTAGTACGTGGTATGAAACACGAGAATATGTCTTTTAGAAAATCGCAGGAAATGAATTCTAACATTTTAGGGAAAGACTCTTAGCCTCGCTCTTAGCTTTATTAAGCAACTCCACATTCTTCGTCTTATTTTATGTTTATTGCCCTTCGTCCTTCACGAATCTTCAACCGTTGATACATACTTTTTGTTAAATTATTTGACGTCTTCTATGCTATATTTTCTAGTTCCGTACAGTTCCACCTATCTATTTGCTTTTGAGCACTTTATCTACAATGGCGTTTTCATCAAATATGAAAGTTATTCCCAACTGCTTTGGTTTTTTGTTCGTAATTTTTAACGCATTTTCCAGCGAACTTGGGGTCGTTTTGGTCTCGTACCTGAGTCAAGAAAAATCTTGACGATGACTGTACGCATGCGCAAACTGCTCAATGTGAGCTTTCTTATTTATTGAGATATTTTTAAAAATTTAACTACTGTAGGCAAACGTATTCCTTATTGTAAAAATCAGAACAGGGCATCATGCACATAAAATTTTGAAATAAAGAGGTTTAAACCTCCCTTCTTTGAAATAAAAAGGCTCGACATTTTTATAAATTTTATTAAAGGACCGACGACTATAGCTCCGATGTTAAATACGGTTACTTACTTACTAGAAAATTGCCTCTTTCCTAGATTTTTCTGAAAATTAGCTTCAAAAATGTAATTTCGTGAATTACTTGCTTTCTAAAAATAAACGCCGGATTATGATAAAGTTTTAAATACAGGGTGAGTTTTTTTTCATTTTAAGCATTAGGATCTCGGAAACCGTAAGACATAGAGATTCGGTTAAATGAGGAAAGAGTTGTCGTTTTAAGAGCTTATTTAAGATATGCTTTTGTTTTTTGAAAAAAATCCACAGTGTACTAGATATGAGCGAAAAACAGATTTAGCGATTTTTTAAATGGCAACCATAGCTGGCTGTGACGTTTTTAAAAAGTGCATTTTTTTCTGTTTACGATGATATAAGGTTCATTGTACTTTGATAAATCAACATGATACAGAACTGTTTGTATTTAAGAGAAGTAAAAACAGAGTTTACCATGCGAAACATTTTTTTCTCTTAATTACTCAGTCTATTATAATATTTAACTTAAAACTTTAGGGCCACAAATAGAATGACAACGAAAATAAATTACGAGTACTAAATATTACATTTAAATTTCTACTTTGAAGTAATTACATGTAAAAAATGTTCAAAGTGCCCATCATTAATATTTACACACCAGCGGCATCTTTTCGCGATAGAATTTACAGCTTTCTGTATTATCCTACCATCTAAAACGCGAAAGGCTACTACTTTACTTTTAATAGTGTATTGAATATAATTGTTAATTTAACTTCCATAGTGAATTTTCGAAAATGGCCTTTAAATATGTTACATGTGCCATAGTTACACTATTACCTATCTCACTAGATGTTGTTTTCCATGACAAACTCTGTTTATTTACCTCTCAATAATACGAAAATTCCTGCAGCACGATTAGTAAGGTTTATTTCGTTATAACGAGAAAAATTTGTCCTTTTTAAAAATGTCAAAGCCAACTATGACTATCGTTAAAAAAATTAAAGTTTGTATTATAACTCAAAAATTGTAAAATATAGAAAGTAATGGAAAATGTAGTGTTTCGCAGGTGCATCCTCTGCATTCCAAGGAACCATATGTCCTAACTTTTCATACTCCAGCGTGAAGGACTGATTTTTCTTGGCAATTTGTCCTTGTCTTGTGGACAGTTCACCAAATTTCTTACAGGCTAGCAGAAGGTGATTTTCCTTGCAGATTTGGCCTCCTATAAACTTGCTGTGGTGGTATACTCGTGCCCATCGTTTTTTCGCCTGGCCTATGTTGTTATCCCTACCGAAATAATATTACTATTTTAATTTACGCCTCACTGGAGCCTAATTATGAACTAATTATGAGAATTTTAAATTTCGATTTCTACCCAGATCCAAATTTACTTTAGTTTTGAATGTCCCCTCCCCCCTAAAAATCTCCGAAATGACCACCTCCGAAAAAATTCGAAAAATTGAAATGCAAATTTTGAGCTACCGTTACAGTGGGTTGCGTATGTAGAGCAGTTGTGTCTGAATCTCTTTCCTCTTATAAATAATAAAGGCACAATAAATTACAAATAAAACAAAGTTTAAGAGTAATGGATTTGTTTTTAAGGTTATAAGAAGTGTAGAAGAGATTTGTTTTGTCGTTTCTTTGGCAAAATTGGTGTTAAATGATGCTTTTTTTACATGTATCTTCTGACTATTTCGTATTTTTATAGGAGCATTTCCATTCCACTAATAGTCCAGTCAAAATAGGAAAATCAGAGGAACTAAAAATACTAGTTCCAATTTTTTCAGAAATGTGTAGGGAGAGGTTCCCTGAACAAGAAAAGATGAAGTCCCTCCAAATTGCGGTGCCGCTGGGGGTAGGAGGGGGCTTTAAACGATCCATTTTTCAGTTTTTCGCTTTTAACTCAAAAATGGTGCGGTACAGTGAAAAAGTTCTTCAGTACAAAATGAAAGCTTATTAAAATTGCTACAAGTTTGGTTATATACATCTTTACGAAAAACTGAACCGTTTTCGTGCTACCGGTTCCGGAAAGGTGGTAATTTCTAAACAAAATTGTTTTTCACTCACGTTTTTCGTACTGAAGAACTTTTCCACCGTAACGCACCATCTCTCCCTACACATTTCTGAAAAAATTGGAACTAGTATTTTTAGTTCCTCTGATTGCCCATTTTTTGTCTAAATTGGCTGGGCTATACTAGATCAAAAGTTACAGCCATTTGAATTTTCTTTCGAAATTTGTTTCTAGTCTATAACTTTTGATTGAGAAGTCTGATCGAAAAAGTACGAATTGTTTTGGATTCTACGCACCAAATTTAATAAGAAAAAGTGTTTTCCCGAGAAATTTTGGTGTAGTCGATTTTTGGTAAAAAAAGAAGGTTATACACTGCCTTTTTTTGAGGCCCGAAAAAAAAAAATTGTCTCAGATCGACCCGGAAAAAAATTTTCTTATAGAATGTGGCCTGTAGAATCCATAATTTCAAACAGTTCCAAGATTGGGGTACTAGTTCAAAAGTTACAGCCCTTTGAATTTTCTTTCGAAATTGGTTTCTAGTCTATAACTTTTGATTGAGAAGTCTGATCGAAAAAGTATGAATTGTTTTGGATTCTACGCGCCAAAATTAATAAGAAAAAGTGTTTTCCCGAGAAATTTTGGTGCAGTCGATTTTTGGTAAAAAAGGAAGGTTATACACTGCCTTTTTTTGAGCCCCGAAAAAAAATTGTCCCAGATCGACCCGGAAAAAAAATTTTCTTATAGAATGTGGCCTGTAGAATCCATAATTTCAAACAGTACTAGTACTAGTTCAAAAGTTACAGCTCTTTGAATTTTCTTTCGAAATAGGTTTCTAGTCTATAACTTTTGATTGAGAAGTCTGATCGAAAAAGTACGAATTGTTTTGGGTTCTACGCACCAAAATTAATAAGAAAAAGTGTTTCCCCGAGATATTTTGGTGCAGTCGATTTTTGGTAAAAAAGGAAGGTTATACACTGCCTTTTTTTAGTTAAAGAGTTAAAAGCGAAAAACTGAAAAATGGGTCGTTTAAAGCCCCCTCCTTCCCCTAACGGCACCGGAATTTGGAGGGACTTTATTTTTTCTTGTTCAGGGAACCTCTCCCTACACATTTATGAAAAAATTGGAACTAGTATTTTTAGTTCCTCTGATTGTCCATTTTTGGTCTAAATTGACTGGGCTATTAGCTTGGAGTAAAAATCCAATTCTACTCCTAATAGCCAATCCTTAAAACTTTTCTTAAAAGCATGTAGGGTCCCGCAATTTTTTAAATAGATAGGCATTTTATTATAAAGCTTAACACCCAAGTATAATGCATGATGATGGGCATGAGAAGTACTCGTTTTAGGAATTATTAACGTCTTTTGGTTGCTTCTAGTATAATGTTCATGGGCAAGCACTTTATATGTATCTTTGTGCTCAAAAGTAAGAGTAGCAATCTTTTGCAGATACAATTGTCGAATCGTTAATAATCCCGATTCAGTGAACAGAAGATTGGTAGGGTAGCGATAGTCTTTACCCATAAGTATTTTAATAATCCGTTTCTGTAAAATTTCTAATTGATGCAAATAACAATCTGCTAGATAGGTTACAGGTACTGGTGGTATCACGTTATTAATTTCACTGAAATTTGCCTGTAATGTAGAAACTCATTCATCGATTGACGCGCCAAAACCAATCCTGGCGCGTCCAAATAAAAATTTCAATCTCATCCTCGTACTGCGTGGGTCGCAGTAATATATCAGGTAGATCAATGTACAAAGTAATCGAAAAAAAAGAACGATGAGAAACAGTAAGAAAACGATGAGGGAGGTTAAACTTGAGGGTTGAGTATTGAGTGAAAGTAAAACCCTAAAAAAATATATATATTAAGTCCAAATAAATTCAATAATATTGGAGATCAAAGTGGTGTTTTACCGGTGACATCTGTCTATGATTCACATGGTATCTAATTATTGAATTACCACCTTTGACTACAAACCGCGCCAGAACAGTTTCAATGGATGTGGTCTTGCAGCGTCATTGCGCGAAATATATTTATGCAATTCCGGATGGTCTACGAGAACTAATGAGTGACATATCGAGAGAAGTAAGGGTGGTAAGTATTTGCACGTATTGTATACTCATATTGTAATGGTAGGTGTTGAGAAGCCAACCAGAAGATATGTATACTTTTATAGCCGACTATCTAGATGCGTTGATGATAACGCGAGAAAATGCGCGAGGTTTTGTGTTTCAATTTTTATAATAGATACGACTTAAAAATGATTATAGTTGCTGCAAAAACTGTGGAAAACATTACAGCAATAGGGATTACTGTTGTAGAGTTATTGCAGGAAACTGGAATGTCGAGGGAGGAAGTGGATAATCTATCACTAACCGTTCAAACAGCATTTAAAAGGTATGTGACTGAGCAAGAAGAACATAGATTGGAAACTGACTACGGTAAGGTGGAAATTCGATACCGACTTTACCTTGTCAATAATCCATATCCATTAGAAATCATCCAAGAAACGGATTTGGTTACCGAAATAATAGAAGAAGCAAAAGTTCGAGTGGAGGATACTGATGCTGCAGCTGCTATTATACAAAAAGCTTACCGCATGTTTAAGCGAAGCCAGGAGCAAGCCAAAGATTTACTTTCCGGGATGGTCGATTGGAGAATTGCGGCACGAAGTACTATTAGATTGTATCGAAAAACAGACGTGTCGTATGAAGATGCAAATAGAGCGGCAACATTAATCAAAGTTTGTATTTCCTGTAAATCGACACCGTAATTTGAGTCCTTATTTAAGGCAGCTTATAAAGGGTATTACACTCGACGGACTATGAATCGTCTGTTAGCCAAAGGAAAAGAAATAATTGATTTCCCCGAAGAGGAACATGGCTCAGAGTACGTAACACATTCTCACTACATTGATGTTTTAGCCATATTTCAGAAACGAGTTGACCACGCTTGAAGAAGAAGAGGAAGAAGGAGAAGAAGCGAAAGAAGAAGTTGAAGGAGAAGGAGAAGGGGGTGAGCACATTTCTGGTTTTAGCGGAGTTCCCACAGGTAATGTATTTTTGTAATGATTCTTTATTCTTCTTATATTGTCATCAGTAGTAGATAGGTACGTGTGATTTTTTTGGTGAATTATTATATTGTGTCTTTTACCACTAGGCAATGCAGATTCGAGAACTGAAGAAGAGGATGAAGAGCAAATATCTCCCGACCAGTTTTCCAGTGAAGTCACGGCAGGTAATATATAATTCTTTTAAATAAGGTTGTTTAATTGCACAGTTGTCAAACAGAAATTCCTTCCGTGGAAACTGAAATTTCACAGTCGACGGGGGTTGATACGGAAAATGATGAAAGTGAATTAACCGATGCAGAAACAGGTAACATGTTTTTAGTTTATATTGTTGGTTGGCGCATATGTATTATATATTTTTTGTTTTTAGAAGTTGTCTCCAGTAATTTCATAGAGGAGGTCTATGAATCAGATGCTGATGAATACGCTGGATGATCTTATAGCCTGAATATAATTAAATTTTTCTACATTGTACAACTATGGGGATCTTATACACATACTACTACAAAAGTACCACATTAAATATGTATATTGTGAGCGATCGTATTGATAAATAATCAATATTTAACATTTTTATGCGTTTTTGAATTTTTCCCATAGGTAATACAAATTACAATACACTTTCAAAAATGTAATCCAAATTTCCTCTCAAATTTTAGTATTCTTAGTGGACCTGATTATGCGTACTCTGGGAACAATGTGGCAACCAACACAATCTTTTTAAATTTTTTAAATACTAAACGAGTATATCATGGGGAAGGGTTGTACAGTCTTTTTATAATACATGTACAGAACACATTAACTGTCCGTAGGACTTCAATTTTTTATATGGGTAGTTTTGTGGCGTCCACAATTGGGATCTGTTTGATACGTGTAGGGTTGGGAAAGCATAACCCTACTGCAGTGGACGCCTAAACAACTGCAGTTAGGGTAGTTAGTGGACTGAATGCGGAAGTCTTTTTTCGATGTTTGAAATACTTATTCAGATTAATTAACGCGGCTGGTTGGTGTGAGGATGACGATAATGGTATAATGGGAAACTGTCTAACTTAAAATCGTTCCTGCCAAAACTTTCGAACTCTGATAATATTTTTGATATGCAGTGTGTAACGGATGTTACCAATTTACTTTACTCCTCCATCTTCCTATATCTTAATTAAATTGGCTGTGGTTCTTGTCTTGTTATGTAATATAATTATTAATTATATTTAAAATGCCTCTGCTGCTCATCGGTTAATAACCTAAGTTACCTACCCCCAATTACAGACATAAGCACAAGTAGCCAAGAGGAAGAAAGCAGAGTTTCCTAAGGCAGATATTCCAGTGGCGAAGCTGTGGTCGTATCCGTTCGGGTTGGATAATACCCACTACAATGTTTGTGTGCATTATTCGTACAAAAGTGCATCTGATTTAAACACGCAAAAGTTACTGTAAAAACTCAATTTAATTTATCATGTGTATCTGTTACAGTACATTATGTATTCCTTGCAACTGCAAGGATATGGCAACTAAGAGTTGAATTTAATATTCTCTAAACATTCGTTATTGTTACTAGCTTGCATCAAATGAACTCGGTCCGCTTTCGTATCCAGGTCGTTTAGCTGCATCCAAAGGAAAATCATAGTCTGGTATTGAAAATAGTTTCTTTAAATTATTCCAATGATCATCGGTGGTAGCGTTTTCAATTTTAACAGTATTCTGCAGCTCTCCCTTATTGTTGACGTTAGGTTGTAGATCGCTGAACTGATTTCGATTAGACGACGCAGCAACAGTCGGTTTTTGTCTTTTAGAGGCAATTGCAACCGATTTTTTTGGCACTACTTCCTTGTGCTGCGGCCTCTTTACCTTTGGATTATACTTCAGAGCCGTTTGGGTTGTTGAAGGCACACCTTCATTGCTAAGTTTCGTAAACCAATGCGTAGGTAATGAGTAGTGTTTTTTAAACGTCATTGAATCGTTGAGATTATCAGTTTCAATTCCGACCAGATTAAGATTCGTCTTTCCATTTCGAAATAAGCTACCGTACTCGGGAGCTTTCTGAGATAATAAATTGGGTCGAGGGGTTCTATGATTATCCGAATCCCTGACAAAAGGTTTATCGCGCTGCCCTATGAGTAGATTGGCGTCATAATCAACTTCAGATTTGTTGCAATTTACCATGTACCAATGGTCACATATTAACATACGTTGTTGGAAAAGGGTTGCGTTGGGGCATGCGTAACTAAATTGTCTTCCTATTCCGTCGCACATGTGATAAATCTGAAACAGAAGATAAATAGTTGGTTAATTTCTCAAGTTTTCTCAAGCATCATAGAAAAATTCTGTCTGTTTTTGTGCGACAAAGTGGCAGGAAGCTATAACAGGTACATTCCCTACAATTTCAGTAATTTTTCGATGTCGCAATGGTATATTGTGAAAACCAGTCATGCTTGTCGAAAGTAAAACATTTTTAAATACAAATTGGTAGTTACCTCCCTATTAACAAAGAACAATGTACCAAACCTGTACGTGTACTCATTCCATAATACCTACACATTACCTACATTGAATAATATGTAATAGAAAGTTGCAAACAGAAGTTAAATAGCTACCTTGAACTTAGACCATCATTTTGATACACAAGTATGAAATGCAAATGATTATTGTTATTGGTGCCCATTCTTCGAATGTTTGATGCATCCGAAAGTTTCCCCTCGCTCTTCTTGAACTTTTTTTGTTTTTCAGGTTTTATTAAAAGTTCTCACTAATAATTCAATGGATGTTGAGAACAATATGATGCGTGGTACTTATGAAAGACAACTTCATTATCAGCTCATATGAAATACTGTTCTAATAACAAAATACAAAATTTAGTAAAATTTGCATTCCGATGGTCTAGCTTCCTCCCACGCTGCTGAAATTTGGCCTTCTCTAAATGTGCAGTGCATAAATTGTGCACAATTTTTGTGCGTGTCTTTTATGAGTATCTCCTCCGACACTCCGCTCTTGAGTTATGAGGAATAATAACCGATCACTATAAGGGTCGAGGGGAATTGCTGTGATTAGTAGAAATTAATTCCTTTCTTTAAGACCTTTCATTACAGTACCATGAAGAATAAAACTAGCCCCCTTCCAATTTTGGTAAGAAGTAAGAGGGTGAGTTCGTAGAAAACAGTTCTTTTCATTGAGACCTTTAATTAGAATACCTTGAAAGATAAAACCGGTGTCTTGTGCAGAGAAAACGTAGCTGAATGTTACAATAGAACGTTTTTTTTTTTTAAATTAAAAGTGTGAATATATACGATTTTTCTTCAGCAGTTTCGTATTTCAATTATAACCAATGGCTGATATCATTTTTATTAAATAATCTTCTATTATAATACAGTTCTTTCAGTGTAGAAAAGTGTAAACTACATACAAATGTTGTAGAATTATAAACTAGTGCAAAAAAAATTGAAGAAGCCGAAGGAAATGTTTTACGTTGATACGGTAGAAAATCCAATATAATAAATCTTTATTAACTCAACAGTGGCAGGGTATCTGTGTATTTTTTACTGTAATTGGTACCTAATGTCACAGATTTTGTATTTAATCTGTGCTAATGTGTATGGAATGATTTTCATACAGTAAGGCGTAACTTTTTTTTTTATTTATATTATTTATTATATTTTTTTATAACTGTTTAGAGGCACTTTAAGTTTTCATAATGCCAGTAGATACGTCTCGTCTAGACGTTCCACTAGCTCTTTATGAGTACCTTCCGATACTTCGTTTTCGAGATATTCGTTTCGGCCCCACCAGACTTACCTACCTAGCTAGCTCAAATTACATCCTTTTTGTTTCTTTGCATTTTTAAATTTTTCTCAGCACACGACTGGGTTTCGCCACAACATTGTCTTAAAATTCTTATAATTCTTCTAATTCGGGTGCACCACCCTGTTGTTTCCAACTTTTGCCTTCTTTAGTGTGTGCCGTACATCGTTGTATTCGGAATAAAAAATTCTACTCTATTGAGTAGAAATAGTACGTACTTTTGTTATGGGTCATATAAAAAAAATAAAGGTGATGAGGATTTCTCCGACACGAAACGTTGTACTGATTTTGTGTATTGTAATTAAGGTTTGAAATTGACATGTGATTGTGACAAAACGAATATTCCCCGTAGATCCAGGGAATGTTGTAAAAGAATATTCAATACTGAAAAATCAAGGAATATATGTGTTCTCAGTATATTCATAGCTGAATATCCTTAGAATATCCCAATACATATATAGGGTGGCAATTTGAAAACTTACCATGTCCTAGTAAATAAACGAGATATTTAAAAAATCAAAATCCGTTTCGGTAATTGGGAGGGGAAATCACAATGACATAGTTGGCGACGCACACCCTCCAACCCCCCGCGTCCCAGCCACCCCAACTTTTAAATCTTAAATAGTGACCCCCCATGTGTGATACGTCGTTGGAAAGCTCTGAAAAAATGCTAATAGCATTAGATTTAGGTTAGTAATTATCGTGCAAATGTGGTTGCTTGATCTTTTATTTATCGCTATCTGTAGAAGATAGTAGTACAGAAAGCGGATAAAGGTATAAAAAGACACATTCCTTCACCTATAGCAGATACGAAAAATACAAAAAATAAATATTAATAGCCTTTTTTCTTCTTAATTTAACCCATAAGCCAATAATGTAAACCATTTTGAACATTTATTGAAATAAAACCCAACTTTAGAAAATGTATCATATTAGTTTATTTTTTGATTTGCATGACAATTACTAACCTAAATGTAATTTGGAAAACATTGTTTAGAGCTTTCCAACGACGTATCACACATGGGGGGTCACTATTTAAGATTTAAAAGTTGGGGTGGCTGGGGCGCAGGGGGTAGGAGGAGGTGCATCGTCAACTATGTCATTGTGATTTCCCCTCCGAATTACCGAAACGGATTTTGATTTTTTTAAATATCTCGTTTATTTACTAACACATGGGGAGTGGTAAGTTTTCAAATTGCCACCCTGCATATATAGAACATTCTATGAATATTTGGAATATTTACATGGTTTCTATCATGTTAAAAGAATATTCTCAGAATATCCATTGTTATCTGGGTGGTAATACTGTACACAAAACTAGAACTTGCAACAACCACATCTACTCAAATAGAAATCCCTTAATTTTTGATCTTAAATTGTATATCTACTGAGTAATATAAGCGTTCCTTTTTATAACATGTGACCTATACCTAAAGGTATTATCTAATGAATTTCTTATACACTTTTCCTTCATTTTCCCTTTAAAATCACGTTTCAGTTAAAAAAAATGTAGAAGGTCCCGGTATTACCTTTGTCCAGTTCGGCTTTGGAAGGTAATTAGAAATAGGAATTTTGAACAAAAACGTCCAAATCTATGTATGCCCTTTTTTTTGAAAAATAAGAATTGTTTATCAAATATCATGTGTTTTATTTGTAGAGAATGCCGCATTATGGAACGGATTCGGTAAAAGTAAATTTCCTATTTATACCATTCAGATAATTGTGTCGTATACACTGAGAAAACAACTTATTCATGAAAAATAAAAATTTGATATCTCAAACAAATGCTCATTTTGAATACGGCCCAACGAATATTAATTTAAGAAAAGAATAATATTTTTTCAAATAATTGTAATTAATATGTTTGGAATGAGTCCATATAATTTCTCCCGAACGCTTATCAGGCGTCATTAAAACAAAATCAATTATTTACAGTTAATAAATCTTTATTTATAAAGAAGAAATGTTAATTGGTGAAAAATAAAATCTGATTACTCCTAAATTTTCAATTGCTAGATTTATTTATATATAGATTGTTTACCACACTACAATTTGTTTGCCACAATAATATATTACCTTTTGTAGAATATCATTTATTTACCCATATTTATTTCTTCTTAACAAATTTGACAGCGAGTAAGTAGAAAATTATATTTATTAATCACAAAATTTCAATATTGTTGTATTCATGTTAGATAAACAGATAGGTACCCAATCAAACTTTACTTACAATACCGTATTTCGTTACCAAGAAAGAGAGATTTGTCAAAAATTTTGTTTTGCTTTGGAGAAATAATGGTAGATTTTATAAACATGAAACAAAATTCTTGTTAAAAATGCATTTATTATTTATAAATATAATATGCACATTTATATTATTACTTATATATTATATATACACTATAAAAATATATAATACTGAAATTTTATATGATATCAGCGCCAGATAACGATATTATACCTTGGTTGTCAATGTTGGTTTCATCCAGGGTTCCCTCCTAATATATTAATTAACTAAATTTATTACTTACCAACAGGAAGGGGCATGAACTCACCTCTAACAATTCAGTGTCCTTATATTTCTGTCCAAGATATTCCTCCAATTTCTTCTTGAAAGTCAACCGCCTTCCATATTGGGGGATTATATATCATTGAGAATGGTGTCCTGAATTAAAGAAGGTAAAAATCCAACGTGATTTGATGTTCTAGAAATTTAATTGCACACTTATATTCTGGTCAGTACCTACAAAACTTCTTTGAATAGCATAACATCATAACGCACAACGCGACGTTACGATTACGCTTGTTGTGGTAAAAACGCGTAGGTAGGTAAGTTATTGGCAAAAATATCCAGTTGTAATATAACAAGCATTTTCTAAGATTAAAAAACATAAGGATGAGGGAAACAATTTTTTTATAATAACCAAATGTTAAGTTACGGCTAAGCACAGATAACTTTTACCACAAATAAATGTATTCCTTGCAAACGTTATTGAAAATTTAAACATGCGGGAACCGGTCAAAGGCGTTGAAAACCTATATAAACCTCATCTTTCATTATACTAATGAAAATGAATATTTATCAACGAGCTATTGTCCAGCCCGAGGTACAGCTTAATAGTGCGGTGCTTCATAATAAAAATAATATGCATGCAAAGCTAGAAAATTAATGAACTTACCTTCAAATTTTTTACACAAATCACTAAATCCCCACAAATACAGCAGTCTACAGTTTCCACTCTTTCCATTTCGTCTTATTAGTCTTAAACAATCCTCACAGCACTTTCAATTTCCCATGAAATGAATAAATAGGTTTTGTGTATAAAGAGTAAGAAGGAACGTAATAATTGAGCCGTTGAGTGAATATTTAATTACTCAATGAATGAGCCAACTCGGAATGATGCAATCATATGCAAGCTAATGAATGAAACGCATTAAGAAACAAACTTGCACCTGTGCTTGCACATACAGTTTGCTTGTTGGAAAGAAACAATTTGTTCAGGCTAGTTTGGGCCATACACACATAAAATTTTTAAAAACAATAACATGATTCGTTTTACAAGATACTTTCATTATTAATTTCAATTTCAACAACTTCATTTTTATTAATAAAGCTGTTATTATCTAAAACCACATAATGTTTTAATACAAATAATCAATTGTTTACTTATAACAAAGTAATTCTAAAATAGTATTTTGCTACATGTAAAAATATATCAATTACTATAAAAAAATTGCTTTAAAAAAACTTTCTTATTGCCGTAATAAAATCGATTAATGTATCATCAATCATGTTTTTTTGAAACCACAAACATTTATTTAAAACAACAGTATGACTTCCAAACAAACCAATTTTTTTAGGACCACCAAGTCTTTTTCTCAGTGTACCTAAGATTGGAAACACTCACGCTATGGCTTCTCTTTTAATAATCACAACAGTGATCAGATCAGTGGTCAGAGAGTCACAACCTCTTCTGGCTATTTTTATAAGAGCGTTTTGTTACATTTTAGCACAATTTTAGTAAAAAAAATCGGGCGATAGAGGAGACCAAAACAAATATGTTTCTCAAATATGTTCGGGTTTCGTAATTCTTATTTTAAAAATTCCGGATGACACACCCCTAAGGGATTTCGACAAAATTTGGTATTTGGTGTCCTTTTCACATAAAAATAACGAATCTGCAACTAGTTTTTGAAAATTCAGAAAAAAACGACTTAAAATAATACCTGGCGGGACGATCACAGTGATCAGAAACTAACGAAATTTCGTACAAAGTAATTTTGGGAATTATTTAGAGGGTATAACATATTTTTCAAATGAATGGTAAGATGTTCAGTTGCGACAATATCATCTTCTAATCAAAATCGACAGGTTTTTGGATAGTCCACTTTGAGATTGCTTGTGGGTACACATCTTCAATTTGCCACCTTTAAAAACGTTCAATCACTTCATAATTTCAGGCACATCTAACGATTACACATTGTATTAAGATGAATCAACTGCAATTACGTTTATTGTTCATTGTGTCGAAACGTGCAATTCCGGTGTTTTGAAAAGATCACAGAATTGATGCTTTTGATTACAGGGCATGTTGCAAGAAAAACGTATTAGTTGTAGAGCGAGGTCGGAAAGCCTCCACATGGCGAACCTTTCAAATAATATTAATTGGATTAACTATCACAATACAATGCGTTGTAGATGCTGGATGCTGTATTCATAATCAAGGTTGTATGCATGTCAATTCATCCTCATTGGAATTAGAAGAATCTCATGGCAGTCTTTGCTTATACTGTCAATAACTTCGATTAAAAGTGAATGGACTTAATTAATAAACATCATTTTCTTCACGATAGGTATTAAGTAGGTGGGTTTGTTGGATGCTCCTTTTAATCTTTTGAAATGTAGGTCTACCTTCACCTTTTAAACAGACAATTACGAACCACGTACAGTACTCTTTTTGTTACTTAATGAGCATACTTGAGGAGCAAACAAAATAATTTGTAACGTGAGATGAAAGATGATTAATGGTTTTGTGTTTGAATTAATTTAGAAACACTGCAACCGCTCTACTGTAGACAATTAGCGAACAATATAGGGGATTAATTAACAATTTTCAAGGTGCTGGTATAGGGATCTAAATGAAAATCTGGTCAGAAAAGAGGTATTTTACACCAAATCAAGGTAAAAATTAATCACTACTAATTTCTTAACTTACCTGACATCCTCTTTCAACGTCTGCGTAATATCCTGCTGGACGATTATTACAAGAAAACTCTCTTTGTATTTCACCCTGAAAACAAAGTAGGCCACATTACTACAAGAAAACTGCACGAAAAGTATTCTGTACCTATAAATTCTCAAAAGGGAGATATAGTGTGATTTTATAACTTTAAAATGGGGTGCAACTCTTCCCCATGCTAACTATTTTATTAGTTGCTCTTAGCGACTAGTTTCGACTAACGAAAGTCATCTTCCTTACAATGATTTACATCTTTAAATGGTGAAGTTAACCAATATAAAATATCTCACATTCATATTTGTAAACTCAGCAACATTTCTTCTAATAACTGCGATATACCAATGGTGGTTGTATACCTAGATTCTGACTGTTTTCTGTTAGTGTCATTTGGGTGGAATGGTAGGAACATCTAATCCTGCCTCAAGAAGGACGATATAAGATGATATTCTGTCGGATTGTTTCCTCCAGTATTCTAACCTTATCTCCCTTTCATTAACATTAAGAACCTTACTTACTCCTTATATTCCCGTTGTCACGCGGGCATATGATATAATAACATTGTTAAATGCTTTTTAATTTTTAATTGGGAATCAGTTATGAAATGCTGGTAGTTTCCGAGTTATAAGTAACAAATTTTTTATTATTGTTCATAAAATCTGGTAGCAAACTTGAAATTCGGATTGAGGAACCCAAAAATCAAAACTACCCCACAACTTTCTTGGTATGAATTTCGTGTAGGTATGAAATGTTATTCGTCAATGAAAACGACATTTAATTCAATTGTAACAAATTGTTTTTAGGCTTTTTATGGAAGTAATGAGTAATCTAGCAGTATTTATCTTGTTTTGTTAAAGTAAATAGTGACGTAGCCAGAGACACGAAACTAAATAACCCTAAAAAACATAACATTTGCTCAAAAATCAAAAAGAGAATGTACTCCTTTTTTAGGGGATTTATAATAAATTATAGGTAATAAATATTGGTAAAAACTCACCCTGTATTAATAAGTATAAAGAAACTTGTTAGCACTTTGCTTAAAATATTGTTTAGTGTTCAAGCTAAAGTCGATACTATTGCTAATTTAAACTAAAGAAATACGAAGATTTTTTTCTCACGATTGTAATGGTGGACGAAAAATAATTGCACATCGAGATATGAAGATATTCAATAAAGAAACCTTCTGTTTTAAAGAAACGCCTACATATATCTACATCTATTGAACCAAATGAAATTTTTAATAAGAAATCTTGAACACATATTAGCAACTATTAAACTAAAGTTAAAGGAACTATAGGTGATTAAAGTTTTTAAGTTTATTACAAAGAATGTATAAAACACAGCCGGCCTTAAAAAAAAGTAATAAACTACTCTGATTTTGATAATAAAGGAGATTCGAGTCGTAAAAAATTATGCAATACAAGAGACCAAATTTCTCCATTTCTATATTTCTAACTTCGCTAAAGACTAAACGAAATTTTAAAACAAATGAATTAGAGTTAGCATTATTGTTATTTATTATGTCAAACTTTCCAGCATATTTCCGCCTACCTATTAGTTTTTCTTTTTCTTTTGTTTAGAATATCGGCTGCCCGCGCGTTATACAAACGGAAAGACTGCGTAGTTCCTTTTATTTCAGTTCACTGGTGGTTATGTATTAAACATACATACAGGCTGTTTCACGCAAACCGTTATCTAAAAGTATTCACAGGCTTTTAAATATGAATATTTACCAACATAGTTTTTCATGATCTATCGAAAGAAAATATTAACATGATCATTTGACCTCTAGTTTTACCGGATGTGGATAGCAGCTTCTTTATTGTAAATAGAACACCCTGTATTTTATTGAATTTTCAAAAACTACATGAAAATCTACGTTGTTTGATACCCCTATACCCAGCCTCAATGATTTTCAAGTTATTCAAGATGTTTCACGTTTGTTTGCTTTTATTTCCTGTACCTATGACTTCATTGATGTGAATTTCAAAATTTCAAGAAGTAACTTCAAAACTTACAAAGTTGATAACACATGCTTTATTTTTTTTGCACTTTCAAATGTCAAAAAAATTCTATACATCGATCATTTATTCCATCTTCTATACCTATCTGTTATGCTTTCTGCCTATTTTTTTAAATTATTTTTATTATTGCTTTTTTTCTAAAATTAGGACCCTTCTATTATATCAAAGTGGGGCATATTTTATTATTATTTATTATTTCTTAAAATCGCAAAAACGAGTAAAGCAGTGAAACTTGGAGAGAATTCGTCTACCATTTTTGTAATATGTACTTTTTGGATGCGTGGGTGGCTCATTTTGAAAAGCCCTGTCTATCTCGAGGCAATGCCCATAGGTATAGGTTTTGAATATTTGTTTACTTGCGAAATGATAAGATATGCAGATAATCACAGTTTGAAACGTAGTTGTAAATGCGTATTTCGGCTGCTCCATAGACGGGTATTATCATCATATTATATTTTCAACGTGCATTGGCTTATGTTGCTCTCATGTGTGTAGGTGCTGTCTTTTATGATTTTATGCATTTGCGAAGGTATTTGTTGCTATGGAAATGAACTATGGCTCACACCTGCACACTTGAGACCAACACAAGCCAATACAAGTTGAAAATACATGCATTTATACCTACGGCTACGTGTCAAGAGGTGATTATCAGATTATCTGCTTATCTTATCATTATTACAAAGGTTAATACTGATGATTGTTATTTCCGTTCGTAAGTAAACAAGTTGTAAATCAGCATATGCATAACTCTCGAAGGGCGATACGGAGTTATAACCAGAACTCAAAAAATTTGTTCTTGCAACACCTTTGAATACGAGAACGCCTTAATCTTTGTATTGCCAGGTTTTACCCCACTACTTCATTACGGTGAGTTTTAGAAAATTTTGCAATTGTCTCGAATTGATACTGGTATGTATTTCAAAAAGTCCTTTAGTGCATTTTCGAAAATATAGAAGAGCATGAGGTAATATGGGCGTGTTGTCTGTCTGATGTCTACGCGATCTTATCTCCTCATGGATATCTCCATTTTAAACACCTTTTCCACAATCATTAATTAATAGCATGCTCTCTATTTTTGTTTGATCTCTAGTGAGCAAATAGATATTTGAACAACTAGTTTTGAAAGTGATACTTTTGCATGAATTTTCAGTTGCAAAGCCCAAATTAATCAAGCAAATTCATGAAAAAAGACACTTTGAACATTTGTTGTACACGAAATTATTTTGCATAGTGATTCTTAATAATAAACCATAATTGAATAATGTCATTGATCATTGACATTC